GAGTTCTAGTAGCACTTATTATTCCTGGGAGGCACAAAGGGTTTGTGCTTGACTACTAACCTCAAGGTTGAGTACTAGCATAAATGTTAGTGGTTCAAATCCACATGGTGGCACCATAGAAGAAATGTCAGGTGATCTGCTTCTGTAAAGATTGCAGTTAGAAAACCCCTCTGGAGCAGTTCTACCATAGACTACATGGGGTCTTTATGAGTCAGAACTCTCTCTATGGCAATGAGTAGAAACATATATACAGAGCAAAAACTTTCCCAACAAATATTTTTTTGTGTGTGGCCCTAGACTGCTAACCACATGGTTGGTGGTTCAAACCCACCACCTGTCCCTCAAGAATCCTAGTTTTGTTATGAGCAAAATGAACTCAACAGCATTTAACAACAATGATAACTTTACCATTAAAAATCATTGAAAGCTTTAAATTTTATATAACCAATCTGTTCATCTTTTTTCTTGGCTTCTGTCACTGGTGTCTTGGTAAGAAAATATTGCCCCACCACAAGATTATTCAAATACTCTCCAGGGATTTTCTAATTAGCTTTTACTTTTTACATTTATTTAGAAATTATGCCAGACACTGCATGTGATGTAAGGTATGAATATTGCATCATATTTGTCCAGCAGGTTAGTCCACTAACCCAACATGATTTTTTATGGATCTTCTCTTTCCCAAGTATTTTGAGCCTGCCTTTGGATATACTAACTTCCATAGTCCCTCCCTTCTGATTATGTACTTCCTTAATAAAAATACTGATAGATCTGTTTAACGTCTGCCAGTTCTTTATAGTTTTAAGTATTTTAAATAGGTAATGAATAAATTTCAATCTGATGAGGGAAACCTCATCTACTTTATTTTTGAATATGTTAAGTCCTTAATGATAACTGAATACTATTTGAAATTGATTAAATATATAGGTTAATTCTGGGACAATTGTTGACATTATTTATATTCCAACATTCCATCCCTCTATATTTTTCATATGTAATTTAATGTCCTCCAAATGTGCTTAATTACTGGTGTGGTACTTTAAGGTCAGCTCTAGACTGCAAACCACAAGATTGATAGTTTAAACCCATCAGCCACTCATTGGAAACACTGTACAGGGTTGTTGTGAGTCAGAACTAATTCAAGGACACTTAACAACAACAGGAACAACATATACATATGCATCTTAGATTTTCTTTTTACTGAATCAGTTCCCAGGATTATTGTTTACTCTTTTTATTGCAACTATAAATTTGAAATTTGTTTTCAATATTGATTTTCTGTTTAATTGTTCCTTTTATGAGAAAAAGGACATTGTTTGAGCTGCTCATATGTGTCCCTTTTTTTTTTTTTTTAATCTCTTTGTGGCTTTATTAAGTTTTCCTTTTACTCTCAAATATCTTTTTCATCATTTTAAATAATTTACCTGATTTTCTTTAGTTTCCGGTGTTTTCATTTTCCCCCTATTTCATTAGATAAAATCTGCAGAAGGAAAATGAATAATAAAGGTAATAGCTGATATTCTTATTTTTCCTTGATTTTCTAGAATTTTATTATATACATTTCTTGTTTTCTTATGAATTTCTAAGGCACAAAATGCTAAAAAATATATTTTCATTCATATTTTACTTGTATCATAGAATAGTTAATTATATCAAATGCATTTTTATTCTTGGTAGCTCAGAAGAAACCATATATACTTTTTCTCTTGAATCTGTAGTCTAATCATTTGACAACTTCTCTACAAGTTTGTCAAACTGTGGTGGCTTTTGTGTTTTTATGATCCTGGAAACTATGCCACTGATGTTTCAAATACCAGCCGGGTTGCCCAAGATGGGCAGATTCCAGTGGAGCTTCTGGACTAAGACGGTCCAGGAAGAAGGAATAAGTCCCCTTCTAAAGGATTGGCCAAGGAGAATGTTATGAACAGCAGCAGAATGTTATTTGATATTGTGCTGGAACAGGAAATCTTCAGGTTGTAAAACACTTAAACTATGACTAGAGAAGAGCTGCTTCCTCAAATTAGAGTTAACCTTAATGCTATGGATGGAGTAAGGCATTTAGATTTTCATGTGCTGATGGGCCATGACTCAAAATGAGAAGAAACACAGCAAACATCCATCAATAATCATAATATAAAATATCTGAAATCTGAATCTATTGAAATTGAAAGTCAACAAATGAAATGGAATACCTGAA